TTCTCCATAGTAAGTTTATGTAGCTTCAGTTTAAGCTGCATTTCACTCTTATAATTTTGGATCTGTAAGTCACTATCCGTGATAATTTAACATTCTGCAAAGAAAACTTACAAGCTGGGCCCAGCGTGATACAGCATTGCAGAAAAACATTACACTCACGGACTAAAGAAAATCGCTTAGATCAGATCCAGAAGGTACTTTGGAGAAAATTGGAACCCTTATTCAGCCGTAATAAAAAAAAAAAGCTTTACGCTTCAAAAGAGGTCAAAGAATATGCGCTTGCATCACAGGGCAAATCCTGCCGACCAGAAAACAATAACTACAGTCAATCGATATATATGTCATGACCTCTCAGTGTGAAACATGCGGCTAAAATCACATTTGCTCAGTAAAATGCAGAACCTTCCAGAGCATAATCTACCCAGCAGATAAAAACAACTTCATTGGAATAAGCAGCATTTTGGCATGAGGTAAAAGTCGTGTAGGCCTACCACCCCCTTTTTGTTGCTATGATTTGTTTACGGGTAGGCCCCGTTTTACCTTATGAAAATCAACACTGGCACTAATAAGAACCAAGCACAGAGTAGAAAGTTCAACATTGCGCAACTAACAAGAAACGTATCCACTCCAGTTTTTAGAGGGAGTGTACGGAAACTCTGTGCGCATCTATTGACAAGAGTCTTCGAACTCTTCCACGAAAGAAAGTGCCTAAATTTTCACGAAATGCTTTCCAAAAAAAAACACACCTCTAGCTTGAAGCAGAAGAGGATCGAAATACACAGTCCGCAATTGGTTACGTTCAGTAGCCAATAAGAAAACAAGAATTTCGATCCGCCACGTGGGTATTTATGTTCAGATCAAAGCTCAACAGACAGAACGGCTGTACCGTTCTCGCCACGACAAAGTACAACTAAAGTTGCTCTTCTAAAAGCAACTAAGCACAAAAGCCAACCCGGCAACTGATGAGGTTCGTGAGGAGAACCGAAACCATGGTCTTGCCTGATCACAAACTGTGGCAATAACAAAACAGTTTAAAGACTGTTAAAAGCTTATTCAAAGCTATTACCAAGGGAGGAACTACGCGCTCCAGTCAAAAGCCTCACACTATCTTCAGAAAAACACTAAGCTGGAGTTTACTGAGTCACAATTCAATTCTCCATAGTAAGTTTATGTAGCTTCAGTTTAAGCTGCATTTCACTCTTATAATTTTGGATCTGTAAGTCACTATCCGTGATAATTTAACATTCTGCAAAGAAAACTTACAAGCTGGGCCCAGCGTGATACAGCATTGCAGAAAAACATTACACTCACGGACTAAAGAAAATCGCTTAGATCAGATCCAGAAGGTACTTTGGAGAAAATTGGAACCCTTATTCAGCCGTAATAAAAAAAAGCTTTACGCTTCAAAAGAGGTCAAAGAATATGCGCTTGCATCACAGGGCAAATCCTGCCGACCAGAAAACAATAACTACAGTCAATCGATATATATGTCATGACCTCTCAGTGTGAAACATGCGGCTAAAATCACATTTGCTCAGTAAAATGCAGAACCTTCCAGAGCATAATCTACCCAGCAGATAAAAACAACTTCATTGGAATAAGCAGCATTTTGGCATGAGGTAAAAGTCGTGTAGGCCTACCACCCCCTTTTATTGCTATAATTCCTGCGTTAGCAAGGTTGTCAGCATAATCTAGGAGCCGCCTCGTTCAGGTAACGTGTATTTTGTCTAATCTGAATCGTAAATTTTTAGTAAATAAACATTTTTTATGACTAGTAATTAATAAAGTTTTCAAATCGTTGCCATCTTAGACAATTGGAAGCCAGTTCAAACCCATTCAAAATGATTTCTGCGGCGCATGTTATTTATTGTACTGTTTATGTACTGTACTTGCTATGACAGGGTATAAAAAAAGTTATGCAACGCTTTCTCGTGATATACCGTGGAATATACCACTTGTCACTTTTATTTTCTTGGTATACACACTTGCCTTAATACAAGGGATTGTTGGGATGTTCTACGGTATACCACTCGAAATGGTTGTTATCCCTGCGAACGTTTCTGGCTTTGCGTTCGAAAAAGAAACGGCTCTGGCTATCCGTCGGTCATCCCTGGCATAATTAACAGTTAATGAATGAGGCTGAGTATCTTATGAAGAATAATGGAGATCGAGGAGGGTGTTATCGAGGCGGATAATACCCTCCGAGATCTCCATAATTCTTCATATGATACGAAAGCCGATTTCAATAACTGTTTTATTATTCATTCCAAAATTCCAAGTTTAAAAACATAGCTAAAACATGCTTAACTCCATCGATCCATCGATGTTCAGTTCATCTTCGATAGTGTACGTTTAGGTTTGTCCAGCTCCGCAAATATTCTCCAAATAGCAGATGTCGCCCTTCGAGTTGTCTTCTTGCTGTTCTTGCCGTGTTTTTAGCTATTTTTTCGCCTAGTTCTTACTCTTGAAACGAGTGAAATGTCCCCATTTTTTTAAGTTCACAACCAAAACAACTCAACCCGTCCCCAGGTCTTCTCGGTTAACGGTGCCTTAACCTGCGAAAACGCTGCGTTTTTGACGTCATTTCCTCGTTAAAGTCAAAATTCCTCCAAATTTGGTCATCAGTAACTGGTTATGGTGAATTAAACATGTGCTTTTAGCCAATCAGAGTTGAGGAAATATTTTGAATGAATAATAATTTAGTTTATTCGTTTTCTTTTTTTATGGACTATTGTCAGGGTTAGGTTTGTGGTTAGGTTCGTTGTTAAGGATGTTTTGTGATGTTTTGTTTCCTTCGTTTTTCGTAAGCTGAGTAATTTCCAACGAGCAATCCGAGCGAAGAAGCGAGAATGGCGAGGCGGCAGCAGAAAACAGCCGAGCATGCGCAAGACTGGGCAATTGGCAGAAAAAAGTGCTTCAAATGATGTTATGTAGATTCTCCGTCAGTGGAAAAGTATAAATGTTGGTGACGGATAGTGTTCATATATTTCTCTTTTCGTTTGTTCATATAATCCCAATTATACATGCAGACCGCTTCGCGGGCCCGGTATAATTTGAATTCCCCGTCACAATTACTACTAGCACGGCATGGCAGGAGCCTATGGACGTGGAAAATGAAAATAGCCTGTCAGTTGTAAGTAAGAAAACAGAAAATTCCCCAAAGGGACCGCTTGGGTTGATTTTTGTTCATAGTTCGATACTCTTATTTGTTAAGCGTGTGTTCACTCGCATTCTGTGGAGCAGGCGTTTTGCAAGTATTAAACCAAACTAACATTTCATTATTTTGTCTCGTTTTATTCTCTTCAACGGCTCCACAATGGTTTCAACACTGTTCTACTTGTGGGTTCTTGTTTTTTTTTTTAATTATTGTTTTGTACTTTGGAGTATGTTCGTCCGTGGTGGGTAAAGTTCTGAAAAGGACTGTTTTTCGTAGTGACTGACCCTTTGTACAACCTGTGCAGAGGTCATCACCTGAGACACAAGGAGTTGTATCACTTCAGCTGATGGTTTTATGCCTTGTTATTGGTTTTGTTTGTTTGTTTGTCTGGGTTTTTTGCAATTTTTTGTTTTTTTTTGTTGATGTTGTTTTTTGTTGTTTTTAATTATTTTTTTTTTGTTTTTTGTTGTTTTTTAACATTTTTTTTTGTTTTTTTTGTTTTTTTCATTTTTTTTTTTTCGGGAAATGGTGTTCAGCAAGGTGATTGATGAGATCGCCCTTTTTTGTCGCTCGTTTGTGTTAAGTCAGTCGAGTGCTAAAGTTTCTGCCGGTTTCACCAATGTAAGTGGCCAGGCAATCGCCGCATTTGTTCATTGCATACTGCTCCCTGTTCATCATCCAAACTGTCTTTGTCTTTGACATTCGTAAGCAGTACGGCGTAAATTGGTCATCGGATAGTGTGCGAAGCGTATGTTGTACGGTTGTAGAAAACGTACGATAGTTTTCTGATATTAATGGGGACTCACTGTCGTAGCAGGGTCAGAGTAAACGTTGGAGTTGGTGTTAAGTTCAAGAGTTGCCGCGTGTATCTCGACCAAAATAAGCCGCATCGTAGCTGTTTTCACCGAAAACATTGTAAAGGTTATCTGTTACGTTTTGTAGGATGTTGGGAGAGTTACCGACTAGTTCCCTCGTCGCGCCAAAGTCCCTAGGTAGAGACGTTTGACGAGATAATCCTAACTAGTTTGTGACTCATCTTACCGTGATCCCATAAAACGAAACCGACCACCTAAAACAACGTTTTTTAGAAAAAGCTACAACGCGGGCTTTTTTTTTTTAAGAAAAACACTTAAAGCAACTCCGATCTCCACACCTACCCCTCCGTTAACTCAGGCCCTATTACGACAATGGCTATCCCGCCTTCCATCAGGGGCTCCTCTTAAACTATCGCACATGCTCAGCTACCTTATAACTTTCGCGTTGCACACAAATCGACCACCACTTTCGACGAATTTGTTAACGAATGTCAAGGACAAAGACAGACCAGAGGAAAGACAAAGAGATGTATACAAGATCAAATGTTGTGACTGTTAGACCACTTACACTGGTAAGACCGGCAGAAACCTTAGCAGGCGACTGACTGAACACAAACGGGTGACAAGAAATGGTCATAAAATCAGTCACATCAACGACTTACTCTAGAAACCTGGCTCCATTAACTTGGAACAAACGCCGCGGTATCAAAGTCAGCTGTTTCCCTGCCATCACCATTGGTTTACGTGATACAACTCACTTTGCCTCGGAAGATGACTACCGCACAGGCTGCCCAACGTCAGTTACTGTCAACAACAGTCCTATTCAGGACTACACTCATTCAGACGATCATGTCTGCTTTTTATTTTTTTAATTTCTTTTTGTTTGTTTGTTTTCTTGCTGATTTTCTAATTTTTTCTTTCTTTTTTTCTTTGATTTTTTTCGTTTCTTTTAATTTTTTTTAAACCCCGACAAGTAGAACAGTATTACCAATTAACAGCCGTGATTTCACAAACATAAATAAAATGCTTCAGTTCTTTCGGCGGCGCGATCTCCGGGTGTAAGGTTTGGTTTCCTCACGCCTCGCCTCCTGTGTAAAAAGAACCACAAAGTGTCACTATTAGCAGTTGTTTAAAGATCAAAGTACCGTACAAGTAATTACCCCCGCTTACCATGTTATTAATGCTCATAAGGATAACCTTATCTATTGTTTATGTATTGATGTTATTCTGGGGTATTGTAAAGTGCAAAATTGATTGGGGTTCAACAAAAGCTGATATCTATGCTGTAGTTATGATAGTCGGAGTGACGGATACTAAGATCTCCAGTCACCAAGACGTTACAGAATTCCCACAACAAAACTGGCTACATCTTCATGTATCCATTTCTCGTCTACAGGGCCTCACAGCTCTAATCACGTAAGAGCAAGATTACAAGACCAAGTGAAACAAGTCACGAGGGGTTCTGGGGTCGAGAATGTTATAGGTTCGCTCTACTATTGAGATTGAGCAGGATTGAGAACTTCATTAACTACAGCGTGTCAATGTAAATAACGGGCGATCGACCTTAATTACCTCAGAAACGAACTCTTCTCCATTCCAAACTCTACGCAACCTTCTTCGGCGTGACCTGGTGTTCAAAGCATGAGTAGGATGGTCCTAAATGAAATTAAAGAAACTAACTGAGTCCTGAAATTTAACTGCTTATTTTCCTTTCTCTTTTAAAAACCTGAACTTTCTTGAGTTGGAAGGACTGTTTTTTCTTAAAAAAAGTTTTCTTCCGCGCCAGAGTTGTTCAAACACTAGGTGCTGACTGCTATCAATCAGGCAATAGTTGGTCAAAAGAAACATGAACCTCGAAAAACTGTTAGGCTAAGAAGTTTTCAAAGCCCTTTTAATCTTCTTCAAGTTTGTCGATCCGTGCCTCGTTTTGTATTTGCTTTGTTATTTAGATCTGCTTTTCATGGTTTGAGCTGTCATTTAATGTTTCAATTAATGTGTCAGCTCCTACTATTTAAAATTGTATAAATTTAATGACACAGCTCCTTAAAATAAAAGAAAATACGTATGGTAGCTCATTAATATATAAAGGCTCCTATATAGTACCTCTAAAGGTTGGCCCCAGTTGGCTGGCAAGGCTGCAACAGCAGCCGCCTGGGCTTCAAAGTTTCCACCAAACAAGGCACTGAACGCAGCAGATACAAAGTAGCGTACATATCCCATAGCATCGGACGATTCAAGATTCGGTTCCACAGTGCCAGGAACAGGATCAAACGCCGCCGGCAATTCTCGCTTCACTGTAGCCGTCATTGGCAGTGGTTGTGCAACAGTTTCTGAAATTGAAATAGTATATTTTGGTTATTTCTTTAGTTCTTTTTAATACCTAAAATGGTAAGGAAAACAGCTGCTAAAGACAATGTTTGTTTTTGAGGCTCAAAATTTATTATTTTACTGATAATAACAAATACCTCTTACTAACCTCATCTTTCTCGGTCCCTTCTGTAAATAACAGTACGGTCCGAGAAAAACGAGGTTAGTAAAGATATTTACTATATCTCTAAGGTTAATTGGGTGCGCGGGAAGGAAACTTTAAAATTTAGCGGGCTGTACAGTACAATACGGCCCGCAAATTGACCAATCACAGCGCGCGTACTAACTAAGACATATAATAACGGTCTTCATTTCCACAAGATAAAGATACATATCTCATGTTACATGAATACCGTAATACATAATAAAATACATGAACTTATTAAAAAATCCTAACCATCCTATCGGATTCCTAAGGTTGTGTTTAAAAATTAATCTATTTACAAAGGCAAACATTTATCATTCAGTAATATTTTAGGACTGGCACATTGTTTTTATGGAGATTATAGGAACATACTTTTTTGAAGGAATATATGGAGCTAGCGGGTGATTATTTACGGAGGTTACTTTTTTAAAAATTTTGCTTTCTTAGAAAATTTTAGCATAAGATTCTAAACATTAAAACAAGCCAGATGTAGACCAAGACGTTTGTAGCAGCACAGTTAATGATAGGTATTTCCCAACTCACCTCCTGAAGAGCAAGCCACTCTTGTAGATGGAGCCATACAAATCATTCCGCTTCCTCTGAAAGGTTCCTGCGATCAAGAAAGGACAGTGATAAAATTAATGCACATACGTTGTACTGTTCTTTTAAGAACAACTGCAATAATGTGTTATTAGCAAAGAAAGAGTTACTGTCATTATGATATTTGAAGTAAACAAGAGGAAGCATCTACGATCTCCTTTTGCAAGAAAATATATAATAGTCTTTCACTGGCTCCCCCTTCGGTTATTTCTTTCGGAGGCGCTCATTGGCTTAAACGGAAAACACATACAAGAACACGACAAAATGGCGACGAAATTGCTTACTTCGAAATTGCAAGGACGTAAGAAGCTGCTTAAAAGCAAGTTTGTGAAACATTTCGCATTCTACAACTGAGCAAAAAGCAGCAGGAAACCATTCATTATTACATTGTTATTTTTTTTTTGAGGGAAAAGATATCTTGGTATCTCTACCGACAGGGTACGGCAAATCGGTTATATTTCAAGCAATACCAGCGATCACATGATCGCTTAAGGTGCTGATGGAAGATCAAATGGTGCAGTTAATATTTCCTTGAAGAGAACCTATGATATGATGTCATCACCACCTTTCCCTAATATTTTTACAATCACCATAGTCCCCGCAACTAATGCATATATATCAAGAAATCACATCAACCCCTCTTACCTCATCTTTTCCAACATTGATATTAGCTGAGGAAACAACTTCTTCATATTTCGACAACTTTCTTGGGATATGGGAAGTATTATCCGCGTCTGAGGTTCTACTCATGCTGCTAAATGATCTTTTTCTTCCTCTTCTTTCCTTGGAAGATTTTCTTTCTTCATGGCTCCGCATTGAAGACAATACTCTGACTTCCTACAACAGAAAGAATTCAACTCAACCGATGGTATCTGCTGCTAAAGAAATATCGGCCAGGAATGCCAAAAATAAAAAAAACTTTTCAAAACTCGATCTACCCTTAATTTAAATTTTCCACCACATTTTAGAAAATAGTTTTAACATACCAAAGAGACTCAGCCCCAAGTGATTTTGAGAGATTAATATTCCTTGTATTCTTTATTTGTATATACTACAACAGTGGATAGTAATTTTTGAGTGCTGTGATTGGCTACAGGATATCTAGTGTTACTATTCACCAAATCAGCGAATAGTAATTTTCGCGTGTTTTGATTGGCTCCCGAAATTCGAAATATCCTTGGCTATTCACTAGTTTTCGCGAAATTCCCGGAAAGACAAAATTTGAGCGATAAATGAAACATTCGTACAAACAATAAAATTCCAAGAAAGCAACGAACTTTGGCTTCTCTGTGTGACTGGTAAGTAGAAAATTATTTTCATGCTAAATTTCCACCAAATTCGAAAAAATGCACTTGACAAACTCCCAAAACGTTTGTAAACCGTTAACAAAGTTCCTACTAAGTAACGTTTATAGTTTAAAAATATATACGATGATCCATATATATTATATAAATTAAGAAATCACATAAACCCCTCTTACCTCATCTTTACCAACATTGGTATTAGCCGAAGAAACAAGGCCAATATAATGACCCTTTCCACAAAAGTCAACTTCAGCCATGCACGTTGCAGGACTGTTGTCACAAGTCAATAACCCTGGATCATTGGTGTCAGGGGATGGTGCTTCTTCCTCAATTTGTCCTGTAGCTGCTTCCACGTCCATATAAGGAGCCTCTGTAAAGCCAACTCTTGATCTGGCCTCTTGATTGAGGAGCCTTAACTCCTCTTCTGTTACAGACATCTCAATAATTGAGACCTCTGTCAGGTCTGGTAACACAACGGAGGAAATTAATTTTCCATCATTGGTGTCAGAGGATGGTTCTTCCTCCTCAATTTTTGCTGCAGCTGCTGCCTCGTCCGTAGCACAACATCCGGTATGATCATGACTGTACGAGCCAATGATCATTCCGCCTTGATTTACAAGCAACTGGCTTGCACGGGCGGAGCTATCATCCACTTCTGAGTTACTACTGGTGTTTCTAGATGACTTTTTCCTTCCTCTTCGTTTCTTTGAAGATCTTCTTTGTCCATGGCTCATTGAAGACGATACGTCATCTTTTGTCTGTAAACAGAAACAACAGGAAGAATACAGCTCAAACGATGGTATCTGCTGCTAAAGCAATATCGGCTAGGAATGCGAAAAAAAAACCTTTTGAAAACTGGATCTTCTCTTAATTTAAATTTTCCACCACATTTTAGAAATTTAACTAACCAACGAGACTCACCACCTTTCCCTAGTATTTTATAATCACCATAGTCCCCGCAACTAATGCATATATATCAAGAAATCACATCAACCCCTCTTACCTCATCTTTTCCAACATTGATATTAGCGGAGGAAACAACTTCTTCATATTTCGACAACTTTCTTGGGATGTGGGAAGTATTATCCACGTCTGAGGTTCTTCTTCTTTCCTTAGAAGATTTTCTTTCTTCATGGCTCCGCATTGAAGACAATACTCTGACTTCCTACAACAGAAAGAATTCAACTCAACTGATGGTATCTGCTGCTAAAGAAATATCGGCTAGGAATGCGAAAAATAAAAAAAAAACTTTTGAAAACTGGATCTTCTCTTAATTTAAATTTTCCACCACATTTTAGAAATTTAACTTACCAACGAGACTCAGTCCAAGTGATTTTGAGAGATTAATATTCGTTGTATTCTTTATTTGTATATACTACAACAGTGGATAATAATTTTTGGGTGGTCTGATTGGCTACAGGATATCTAGTGTTAGTATTCACCAAATCAGCGAATAGTAAATTTCCCCGTTTTTGACTGGCTCCCGAAATTCGAAATATCCTTGGCTATTCACTGTTTTTCGAGAAATTTTCGGAAAGGCAAAATTTGAGCAATAAATAAAACATTCGTACAAACAATAAAATTCCAAGAAAGCAACGAACTTTGGCTTCTCCGTGTTTACTGGTAAGTAGAAAATTATTTTCATGCTGAATTTGCAACAAAATCGTAAAAATGCACTTGACAAAATCCCAAAATGTTTGTAAACTGTTAACAAAGTTCCTACTAAGTGACGTGTATAATTTTAAACAATATGCTATGATCCATATATATAAGAATTAAGAAATCACATAAGCCCCACTTACCTCATCTTTACCAACATTGGTATTAGCTGAAGAAACAAGGCCTTTATGATGACCCTCTTCACACAAGTCAACTTCAGCCATGCACGTTGCAGGACTGTTGTCACAAGTTAATAACCCTGGATCATTGGTGTCAGGGGATGCTGCTTCTTCCTCAATTTGTGCTGCAGCTGCTTCCACCTCCATATAAGGAGCCTCCATAAAGTCAACACTTGATCTGGCCTCTTGATTGAGGAGCCTTAACTCCTCTTCTGTTACAGACATCTCAATAATTGAGACCTCTGTCAGGTCTGGTAACACAACGGAGGAAATTAATTTTCCATCATTGGTGTCAGAGGATGGTTCTTCCTCCTCAATTTTTCCTGCAGCTGCTGCCTCGTCCGTAGCACAACATCCGGTATGATCATGACTGTACGAGCCAATCATCATTCCGCCTTGATTTACAAGCAACTGGCTTGCACGGGCGGAGCTATCATCCACATCTGAGTTACTACTGGTGTTTCTAGATGATCTTTTCCTTCCTCTTCGTTTCTTTGAAGGTCTTCTTTGTCCATGGCTCTTTGAAGACGATACGTCATCTTTTGTCTGTAAACAGAAACAACAGGAAGAATACAGCTCAACGGATGGCATCTGCTAGTTAACGAATATCCGGTTAAAATGGTCAAAACACGTTTGGCAACTCGATATTCATTTTTGTTGTTATAATTTGTCTTTTTTTTCTTCTTGTTCTACGCGCTCAATTATACTGCGCTCAGTCAGTCGCACTAACATAACAAATTTGATTAATGCAGCACTAGAACTGTCGAATTTGACCTATCTGATTTGAAGCTGCTCTCGGTGTTTACTGGTAGGTAGAAAATTATTTTCATGCTGAATTTGCAACAAAATCGTAAAAATGCACTTGAAAAAATCCCAAACTGTTTGTAAACTGTTAACAAAGTTGCTACTAAGAGACGTTTATAATTTTAAAAAATATACTATGATCCAAATATATACGAATTAAGAAATCACATCAACCCCTCTTACCTCATCTTTACCAAAATTGGTATTAGCTGAAGAAACAAGGCCGTCATGATGACCCTTTTCACACAAGTCAACTTCAGCCATGCACGTTGCAGGACTATTCTCACAAGTCAATAACCCTGGATCATTGGTGTCAAGGGATGGTTCTTCCTCCTCAATTTGTGCTGCAGCTGCTTCCACCTCTATATAAGGAGCCTCCATAAAACCAACACTTGATCTCGCCTCTTGATTGAGCAGCCTTAACTCCTCTTCTGTTACAGAGGTCTCAATAATTGAGACCTCTGTCAGGTCTGGTAACACAACGGAGGAAATTAATTTTCCATCATTGTTGTCAGAGGATGGTTCTTCCTCCTCAAATTTTGCTGCAGCTGCTGCCTCGTCCGTACCACAACATCCGGTATGATCATGATTGTACGAGCCAATGATCATCCCGCCTTGAGTTACAAGCAACTGGCTTGCACGGGCCGAGCTATCATCCACATCTGAGTTACTACTGGTGTTTCTAGATGACCTTATCCTTCCTCCTCGTTTCTTTGAAGATCTTATTTCTCCACGGCTCATTGAAGACGATACGCCATCTTTTGCCTGTAAACAGAAACAACGGGAAGAATACAGTTCAATGGATGGCATATGCTAGTTGACGAATATTCGCTTAAAATGCACAAAAAATGTTTGGCAACTCGATATTTATGTTTATTATAATTAGAATTTACCACACATTTTCATTCTTGTTCTACGCGCTCAGTTAAACTGCGCTCAGTCAGTCAGTCGTACTCCCATAACAAATTTGATTAATGCAGCAATAGAACTGTCCAATTTGACCTATCTAATATGAAGCTGCTTGAAATCTGACAGTTGGACAGCAGATGAAAATCAAGCGTCAAATGCTGCTATCCAGTAAAGTTTTTAGTATGTGAGAAGAACGAGTCGTTCTGATTAAGTTCTTTAATAAATTATGGTTTTTCACAAGCATTTAAATTCAGATACCTACTAGCCTACTGCATTGGGATCAATTGCTGCATTCCATCGGCTGCCACACACAACCGGCAGCTCGCTGCTGTGCCGTTTCTATTTTACTACAAAAATGCATTGTGTTTTTCACACGCTGTGATTGGTTACTTAAAGTCGTTAAATAATGCAGTTACTATTTCCTTAAAGAGAAACAATGCTATTATGTCATCATCGGCTTTCCCTAAACCAATACATTTTTATTAAGAAATCACATCAACCCCTCTTACCTCATCTTTACCAACATTGGTATTAGCTGAAGAAACAAGGCCTTTAAGATGACCCTTTTCACAGAAATCAACTTCAGCCATGCACGTTGCAGGACTGTTCTCACAAGTCAATAACCCTGGATCATTGGTGTCAGGGGATGGTGCTTCTTCCTCAATTTGTGCTGCAGCTGCTTCCACCTCCATATAAGGAGCCTCCATAAAGCCAACACTTGATCTGGCCTCTTGATTGAGGAGCCTTAACTCCTCTTCTGTTACAGACATCTCCATAATTGAGACCTCTGTCAGGTCTGGTAATACAACGCGGGAAATTAATTTTCCATTATTGGTGTCAGAGGATGGTTCTTCCTCCTCAATTTTTGCTGCAGCTGCTGCCTCGTCCGTAGCACAACATCCGGTATGATCATGACTGTACGAGCCAATGATCATTCCGCCTTGATTTACAAGCAACTGGCTTGGACGGGCGGAGCTGTCATCCACTTCTGAGTTACTACTGGTGTTTCTAGATGACCTTTTCCTCCCTCTTCGTTTCTTTGAAGATCTTATTTGTCCATGGCTCATTGAAGACGATACCTCATCTTTTGCCTGTAAACAGAAACAACAGGAAGAATACAGCTAAACCGATGACATCTGCTAGTTGACGAATATCAAGTTAAAATGGTCAAAACACGTTTGGCAACTCGATATTCATTTTTATTGTTATAATTTCCCTTTTTTTCCTTCTTGTTCTACGCGCTCAATTATACTGCGCTCAGTCAGTCGTACTACCATAACAAATTTGATAAATGCAGCACTAGAACCGTCCAATTTGACCTATCTGATTTGAAGCTGCTTGTAATCTGACAGTTGGACAGCAGATGAAAATCAAGTGTCAAAAGTGCTAGCCAATAACGTTTTTAGTATGTGGGAAGAACGAGTCGTTGTGATTAAGTTCTTTAATAAATTTTGGTACTTCAGATGCATTTAAATTCAGATACCTTCTAGCCCACTGCATTGGGATCAATTGCTGCATTCCATCGCCTGCCACACACAACCGGCAGCTCGCTGCAGTACCGTTTCTATTTTACTACAACAATACATAGTATTTTTCACACGCTGTGATTGGTTACTTAAACTCGTTAAATAATGCAGTCACTATTTCCTGAGGAGAAACAGTGGTATGATGTCATCATCGGCTTTCCCTAAAGCAATACATTTTTATTAAGAAATCACATCAACCCCTCTTACCTCATCTTTACCAACATTGGTATTAGCTGAAGAAACAAGGCCTTTATGATGACCCTCTTCACACAAGTCAACTTCCGCCATGCACGTTGTAGGACTGTTCTCACAAGTCAATAACCCTGAATCATTGGTGTCAGGGGATGGTGCTTCTTCCTCAATTTGTGTTGCAGCTGCTTCCACCTCCATATAAGGAGCCTCCATAAAGCCAACACTTGATCTGGCCTCTTGATTGAGGAGCCTTAACTCCTCTTCTGTTACAGAGGTCTCAATAATTGAGACCTCTGTCAGGTCTGGTAATACAACGCGGGAAATTATTTTTTCATCATTGATGTCAGAGGATGGTTCTTCCTCCTCAATTTTTGCTGCAGCTGCTGCCTCGTCCGTAGCACAACATCCGGTATGATCATGACTGTATGAGTGATTTACAAGCAACTGGCTTGCACGGGCGGAGCTATCATCCACATCTGAGTTACTACTGGTGTTTCTAGATGACCTTTTCCTTCCTCTTCGTTTCTTTGAAGGTCTTCTTTGTCCATGGCTCATTGAAGACGATACGTCATCTTTTGTCTGTAAACAGAAACAACAGGAAGAACACAGCTCAACCGATGACATCTGCTAGTTGACGAATATCAAGTTAAAATGGTCAAAACACGTCTGGCAAGTCGATATTCATTTTTATTGTTTTAATTTCCCTTTTTTTCTTCTTCTTGTTCTACGCGCTCAATTATACTGCGCTCAGTCAGTCGTACTACCATAACACAACCGGCAGCTCGCTGCAGTATCGTTTCTATTTTACTACAACAATACATAATATTTTTCAGACGCTGTGATTGGTTACTTAAACTCGTTAAATAATGCAGTTACTATTTCCTTGAAGAGAACCTATGGTATGATGTCATCATCGGCTTTCCCTAAACCAATACATTTTTATTAAGAAATCACATCAACCCCTCTTACCTCATCTTTACCAACATTGGTATTAGCTGAAGAAACAAGGCCTTTATGATGACCCTCTTCACACAAGTCAACTTCAGACATGCACGTTGCAGGACTGTTGTCACAAGTCAATAACCCTGGATCATTGGTGTCAGGGGATGGTGTTTCTTCCTCAATTTGTGTTGCAGCTGCTTCCACCTCCATATAAGGAGCCTCCATAAAGCCAACACTTGATCTGGCCTCTTGATTGAGGAGCCTTAACTCCTCTTCTGTTACAGAGGTCTCAATAATTGAGACCTCTGTCAGGTCTGGTAATACAACGCGGGAAATTAATTTTCCATTATTTGTGTCAGAGGATGGTTCTTCCTTCTCAATTTTTGCTGCAGCTGCTGCCTCGTCCGTAGCACAACATCCGGTATGATCATGACTGTACGAGCCAATCATCATTCCGCCTTGATTTACCAGCAACTGGCTGGCACAGGCGGAGCTATCATCCACATCTGAGTTACTACTGGTGTTTCTAGCTGATCTTTTCCTTCTTCTTCGTTTCTTTGAAGGTCTTATTTGTCCATGGCTCATTGAAGGCGATACGTCATCTTTTGTCTGTAAACAGAAACAACAGGAAGAATACAGCTCAACTGATGGTATATGCTGCTAAAGCAATATCGGCTAGGAATGCGAAAAAAAAAAAAACTTTTGAAAACTGGATCTTCGCTTAATTTAAATTTTCCACCACATTTTAGAAATTTTACTAACCAACGAGACTCAGTCAGAGTGATTTTGAGAGATTAATATTCCTTGTATTCTTTATTTGTATATACTACAACAGTGAATAGTAATTTTTAGGTGCTGTGATTGGCTACAGGATATCTAGTGTTACCTTTCACCGAATCAGCGAATAGTAATTTTCGCGTGTTTTGATTGGCTCCCGAAATTCGAAATATCTTTGGCTATTCACTATTTTTCGAGAAATTTTCGGAAAGACAAAATTGGAGCTATAAATGAAACATTCGTACAAACAACAAAATTCCAAGAAATCGACGAACTTTGGCTTCTCGGGGTTTACTGGTAAGTAGAAAATTATTTTCATGCTGAATTTGCAACAAAATCGTAAAAATGCACTTGAAAAAATCCCAAAATGTTTGTCAACTGTTAACAAAGTTCCAGGTAAGTGACTTTTACAATTTAAAAAAATATACTATGATCCATATATATATCAGTCCTGAGAAATCACATCAACCCCTCTTACCTCATCTTTACCAACATTGGTATTAGCTGAAGAAACAAGGCCTTTATGATGACCCTCTTCACACAAGTCAACTTCAGCCATGCACGTTGCAGGACTGTTCTCACAAGTCAATAACCCTGGATCATTGGTGTCAGGGGATGGTGCTTCTTCCTCAATTTGTGCTGCAGCTGCTTCCACCTCCATATAAGGAGCCTCCATAAAGCCAACACTTGATCTGGCCTCTTGATTGGGGAGCCTTAACTCCTCTTCTGTTACAGACATCTCAATAATTGAGACCTCTGTCAGGTCTGGTAACACAACGGAGGAAATTAATTTTCCATCACCGGTGTCAGAGGATGGTTCTTCCTCCTTAAGTTTTGCTGCGGCTGCTGCCTCGTCCGTAGCACAACATCCGGTATGATCATGACTGTACGAGCCAATGATCATTCCGCCTTGATTTACAAGCAACTGGCTTGCACGGGCGGAGCTATCATCCACATCTGAGTTACTACTGGCGCTTCTAGCCGATCTTTTCCTTCTTCTTCGTTTCTTGGAAGGTCTTATTTGTCCATGGCTCATTGAAGACGATACGTCATCTTTTGTCTGTAAACAGAAACAACAGGAAGAATACAGCTCAACTGATGGTATCTGCTGCTAAAGCAATATCGGCTAGGAATGCGAAAAAAAAAAACTTTTGAAAACTGGATCTTCGCTTAATTTAAATTTTCCACCACATTTTAGAAATTTTACTTACCAACGAGACTCAGTCAGAGTGATTTTGAGAGATTAATATTCCTTGTATTCTTTATTTGTATATACTACAACAGTGGATAGTAATTTTTGGGTGCTGTGATTGGCTATACAGGATATCTAGTGTTACTATTCACCGAATCAGCGAATAGTAATTTTCGCGTGTTTTGATTGGCTCCCGAAATTCGAAATATCCTTGGCTATTTAGTATTTTTCGAGAAATTTTCGGAAAGACAAAATTGGAGTTATAAATGAAACATTCGTACAAACAACAAAATTCCAAGAAATCGACGAACTTTGGCTTCTCGGGGTTTACTGGTAAGTAGAAAATTATTTTCATGCTGAATTTGCAACAAAATCGTAAAAATGCACTTGAAAAAATCCCAAAATGTTTGTCAACTGTTAACAAAGTTCCAGGTAAGTGACTTTTATAATTTAAAAAAATATACTATGATCCATATATATATCAGTCCTGAGAAATCACATCAACCCCTCTTACCTCATCTTTACCAACATTGATATTAGCTGAAGAAACGAGGCCTTTATGATGACCCTCTTCACACAAGTCAACTTCAGTCATGCACGTTGCAGGACTGTTGTCACAAGTCAATAACCCTGAATCATTGGTGTCAGGGGATGGTGCTTCTTCCTCAATTTGTGTTGCAGCTGCTTCCACCTCCATATAAGGAGCCTCCATAAAGCCAACACTTGATCTGGCCTCTTGATTGAGGAGCCTTAACTCCTCTTCTGTTACAGACATCTCAATAATTGAGACCTCTGTCAGGTCTGGTAACACAACGGAGGAAATTAATTTTCCATCATCGGTGTCAGAGGATGGTTCTTCCTCCTTAAGTTTTGCTGCGGCTGCTGCCTCGTCCGTAGCACAACATCCGGTATGATTATGACCGTACGAGCCAATGATCATTCCGCCTTGATTTACGAGCAACTGGCTTGCACGGGCGGAGCTGTCATCCACTTCTGAGTTACTACTGGTGTTTCTAGATGACCTTTTCCTTCCTCTTCGTTTCTTTGAAGATCTTCTTTGTCCATGGCTCATTGAAGACGATACGTCATCTTTTGTCTGTAAACAGAAACAACAGGAAGAATACAGCTCAACGGATGGCATCTGCTAGTTGATCAATATTCGCTTAAAATGCACAAAAAACGTTTGCCAACTCGATATTCCTTTTTATTATTGTAATTTACCACGCATTTTCATTCTTGTTTTACGCGCTCAATTATACTGCGCTCAGTCAGTCGTACTACCATAACAAATTTGATAAATGCAGCACTAGAACTGTCCAATATGTCTGATATGAAGCTGCTTGTAATCTGACAGTTGGACAGCAGATGAAAATCAAACGTCAAATGCTTCTATCCAATAAAGTTTTTAGTATGTGAGAAGAACGAGCCGTTGTGATTAAGTTCTTTAATAAATTATGGTACTTTAGATGCATTTAAATTCATATAGCTACTAGCCCACTGCATTGGGATCAATTGCGGCATTCCATCGGCTGCCACACACAACCGGCAGCTCGCTGCTGTACCGTTTCTATTTTACTACAACAATGCATAGTATTTGTCACACGCTGTGACATGGTACTTACGTATACACAAACGGAAAGGATTCGTCGATTGAGTTAGCTCGTCAGAGTGAGGCAAAACGTTAGGAAGCGCCTCAAAGTGAGGCAAATGTGTGTCGACGACGATGGCGAATGCAATCTCGAAAAAACCTCTCTTATTTGTTGCACAGGATACCCAATAATGCACAGAACACCTAACACAAATTAGGGGTTGCGTTCTCGTACCTCGAACGCAATAAATATGGTAGTTCAAAATACAACGAAACCTCCGCGGTCGTCCTTTTTCTTCTCTCCGCCCTAATCTTTCCTTCTATTTTGTCATTAATTTGCATAATTTTGCCTTTTCGCTTGCCATTTGTGTCTGTGAGGAAACGAGGACGACCGGCCTCGCGGTCTAATCTCACATGCATGCAGCTTAACAAAAATCCGTGATTACGCCAAAGTTCTTTCACACTCTGTTAATTTGATGTTCTTTATGTGTTTTGGGGCAAAAATGTATAGACAATATAATAGATTCTTCTAAATAACAATTGGCCCAAGCTCTTTTCTTTCAATGTCGTCAAACAAGGCGCATAAAGCAATACTCAGGGGAAGTAGGGGTCGAATGTTTAATTCAAGTTTAATTAATACTATACCTGCCGATTATACCTGCCAACTTTTCTTAACTTATAGGCGCGACATTTTGATCCTGAGAGTCCCAGGATTTTTCATAGGTTTCGGTTTATCTCCGAAGATGTCTGAAGAGATTCCGATTAAGAAGTTCTGTCTAACACGAACACAAGAACACGAATGAACACGACCTTGTTTCCAGTGACTTTCCCTACTAAAATAAGGGAAGTCAGAGAAAGTCGATCATTCACGTGTACTTTTCTTCTCTCATTGATCCCATTTTCTTTATAATAAATAAATTCGAAATATTTTTAAAGATGTGTTAGTTAATGCTCGTAATGTACCAGACGTGAGAAATTGGACAAAGGCGTAAGTAGGCGTGAGATCATCGAGCTTTTCGATCCGTAGGCGTGACAATCACGCCTTAGGCATGACACTTGTCAGGTATAGAATACATTAATTAGAGTCGAGTGAGTGAGTGAGTGAGTGAGTGAGTGATCGAGTGCCATTCGACTGCCTCCAAAAGTCCATGGAATGACTACGTCATCTGTGAGCTAAAAAGGAGGGAAATGCAAACCTAGCTGCCTTTCCTTAATATAAGAGAAATTATATAAGCTAACAGGGAGCCTCAGTACGTCTTAATAGCCACTTGCCTTCCCCACTGTCTTCACAGCGTAGCTGTCAATAATAGCTTGCATGCCACGCAAAACGTGTTCGCGATCTTCTTGTGCAAGCATTGTCAACATCTTGTGAGCCTCTGTAGTTGAGAGGTAAAACACAAAGCAAAGAGGCAGTCATAAATTAAGGCGCTAAACTCAATAAACTTAATTAAGCACCAAAAAATACGTCCTTACACCTTGACCATTCCCAGTGTCTCCCCGCAAAACGTATGTTAAGGTGATGTTACACGGCACGATTCGCAACGAAGATTTTTAGCGCAACACAGTGTTGCAACATTGTTGCGACATTGTTTTGAATGGTTACGACATTGTCCCGCATTGCAACGCTGTGTAATGCTAAAAATCATTTCTATTTTTTTTTAAATCCCTCTCGGGTTCGTAGGTCGCTTGATCGCTTGGGGGAGACGTCCTTCATGGCCAAAGAAGGGGAGGACTTATCTGAGTGTGGGGGCTTAATAGAGGATTTACGGATGCACCATCATCGTTATCATTGTCATCATTACTGTATGTACATTGTACTCTAATTGGGTCCAAGCAAAGCTAATTGCAAGGCTGGCAATACGGCAAAGGGTTGATTTATTTGACGCCAATATTTCGGCTGACAAAATTAGCCTTCCTCAGGGCCAGGGCTGCATTGAAAAGGAACAGTTTATAACTGTTCCTTAAATTTGATAGATTGATAAGGTACAGTTCAACGTTCGTCCTTGCGGTTTAAACATCAGGTGAAAACGTTTTCCCCCTATTTATGAGGGAAGCTTCTCTTGCTTTACGGCGTGACATGTTAAGTGTAGGATTGACGTTCAAGTGGAAATGTTGTTGTTCTTCCCCACCGCGTAAACCATCTCCCATGGTAACCAAAGAAGCAGGTGCTATAACTATTATTTTAATCTATGATGTTACGATCACTAGCTCGGACTCATGAGAAATTTATTGTCAAAACGTTTCGAAATAAGCTAATTTAAGAATACCAGAGCACCCGCTGTGTATAAAAATTTTAAAAGCGCCAGTTATATAAATATTAGTAACAAAATAAATATGAAATTAATACCATTGATGTCGAAACTGGTGGTGCTGCAAGAAGCATCTCTGGAGATGCAGGTAGGGATCTTGTTTGCCATACTTTCATGGCTTGAATTCTCCTGTAAACATTAAAATATAGCAACCGTAAGTTCTGTAATATGAAGTATTGCCGTTTTTTATGTTGTTATTGTTGTTTTTAAATCGCGAAAGCGACTTCTCCAAAATTCTTACTCAAAACCCTACTGTTTCGACTATTGCAACCTTCAATATTCCGCTTACTCGTTTACGTAATTGTATGTTTATTTGAGTACGCTCACGTACGTACTTTGTTATTGCACGTCTATAGCCCAAATCAATGTCTTAATATTTATGAGGACGTAAATGCCCGTATCCATGTTATATCTATATGTGCGCGTGAATTTACTTTTCCTTGTTGTATCTGTGTACGCATATGTAGTACCTAACCATCCTGTATCTTTGTGTACGCTTCTATTTATCTTTCCATGTTGTATCTATATGAGCGCATATATTTAGCTACCATGTTGTATCTATATGCGAGCATGTAATTACCTTACCATATTGTATCTATATCTGCGCATGTATTTACCTATCAATGTTGTATTAATTTTTGCGGATGTATTTACATTTCCATGTTGTATCTATATGTGTGCATATATTTACGTATCCATGTTGTTTTTATGTGTGGGTATGTACTTACCTATTCATGTTATATCTATATGTGCGCATTTATTGTTCCATGTTGTATCCATATTTGTGCATGTATTGATCTATCCGTGTTGTATCTATGTGTGCACGTGTATTTACCCTTTATATTTACCTATCCATGTTGTATCTATATGTGTGTATGTATTTACCTATCCATGTCGTTTCTTGTAACTTTTATCTTCACCTATCTTTCATATATATATATTTAACAATTATTCCACGAGGGCGCGTTGGATATGAGATGGAAGAAAGCCAACGAGACGCGTAGCGTCGAGTTGGCTATAATCATCTCATATCCAACAAGCGAGAGTGGAATAATTGTTTTATTAAAAACGCCCACAAAATCTCGATGAATCTCCCCGACATAATTTTGTTAGAACAAACCGGAAAAGACAAGGAACTTCCGCCTTTCACATGTCACACGTCTACCAAAACTGTCAACGCTCGAAAGGATGAATGAATGAAAAATCAAAACATTTTCGCGATGAACACTTTTAAAAACTCATCGGGATTCTACGATTTTACACAGCAGGACAGCTAAAAAAACTCACAGATAATGTGTACAAAAAGAATTTTAGAATTTTTAAGTGCAGCCGTCGAAATTACTGTGACTGTCAGTGGAGTTTTGGTGCACTTACAAAAGTAAGAACAATGGAGGAAAACTATTCCCTCGGTCGCCATTCAGAAACTCATGCAAAGCTTGTTATGAAATTGCTCGAAGCCGCCAGCTGGTTTTGCTGAACGAGGGAAGGAGCTATACTGACGCCTGGATTTGCTGTAGTGAATGGCTGCATAGCCTGTATTTGTAGTCAGTTGCTTGTGATTTGTATTGATCTGTATGTCTGATAAACAGGCTGCAGTTATTATCTATCGGCGAGTGGTTTCGCGATCATGAAGAAACAACACTTGTCTTCTTTCGTAGCTGGTCGAGGTATTTTGGTTTTTCGATAAACTTTCAAACAAGCCCTTTTGGCTTTTTTTTTCTTTGTTTGTTTTTTTCCCGATGAAATTGCATTTTCTAGTATTCTAAGAATTAAAATGATTTTTCTCGGGCGCCATTCTATCCTTCGCGAAAAAAATCTCATCTAGCTTCCAATTTTAAACTGACGCGTTCACTGACCATATATGGAAAGCATAGTATAATGGCTCAAATACCATAACGGCTAAGCCAATCAAAACGCTAGAATTGGATTATCCAATGATTCAGTTTTTAATAAATATATAATATATATATCATTTGAGGCTTGCTCAGAACCTGACCTTTTTTTTACCTTTTCAGTACAAAAAAACCCATAGGTTAGTAAATCTACTCGTTTACTTGTTTACTTTGAAAGATGAAGCTGACAGAGTTTTGTGTCAACTTGTGGTGTTTTTAACTGTCTTTTTCCACCGGATGTACAAAATGAAATTCAGCTGCTATCCAAAGTCTTCTGTTATTCATGACTAGGTTGTTTATTGGGTTTTTGGCTGAGAACTACATCGCTTGTCACAGTCGGAGATGGCACTTACCTTGCTTGATGCGTAAGAGGGTTGAAAAGTCCGAAGCGATTCTCGCCTTACTTGATAGCTTTCAGGAGCTGCATCTCAAATGGTAAGCCTGAGTAATTATTGTATTTGATGTTTGTTTTTTTCTTGATCTAATTTGATGAAGCGGAGCCTAGTTTATGCGGCAATTTAAATTATTCACGTTTGTAAGGTTTGAGACAATGATCTGACCGAGTACGTATCAGGTTTGATATGAGCTTACAGAACTTCAAAAAGTTAAGCCTTTAGACATTTTCTCACTGCAAATAGAAAGAAAACGTTCCAAAGAATATTTAGTCATAATTCTGGCTGTAAAAGAAAGCTTTGAGCTATTTTCTTGCCTCGAGTTCATCTTTGAAAAAAGCAAAGGAAACGGGAAGCCTGCTTTTAAAAACATAAACTTAAGGTTTAAGCTTAAAGACTTAGCATTTTTAGAGACACTTTAAAATACTCTGAATCCTTGTCTTCGTCAATGAAAATTGTTGTCTCTGTATATGTTTCACCGAATTATATTTCTTTAATTGATTGTTAGTAGTCTCTCTTGCAATTTTAAATGTTGTGCCGTTTGTTTTCGGTCGTTCATGAACATCGCTTTTGCAGGAGTCCTATAAATGCGGCGCGTATCAAAAGCTTTTTAATATTACACATCGTTATAAAACCATTAAATAAAAAATAAACATAATGCATTCTTTATTATGTTGAAGAATAACTCTATTAATGTTCATTCAAACACTTGATATCTCGCAATTCAAATTTGGCGCTTGTCAAAAGTGAGAACCGGCTGGCTGTAATTAGGTGATTTTGGAATATTTTAACGGTTTCGCTAAAAGCCCACGCGTGCTTCGATCGTCCCGAATATTGAATGAGTGCAATTTGTATCGCAAAATTGTGAAATACTGCATTCTGTCCGAGGTCTGTATGAAAAAAAACGGCGCCTTATAGTACTGTTTCACCTCAAATGTGATGTATAAAAAGTATAAAAGGTTTTTTACACGCCCCCAGATTTGTTGGCAAGACTTTGTAAAATAAACTTGTCGAACGCAAAAAATTCGGCCTGATTTGTTTTCCAGGCCTAATCTACTGTGATCAAGAGCCATCATGGCTGATTATGGCTCTTAAATGTGATCGAAGATGATTGCAATTTTTTGGGTGTACACATAAGGTTATCAACTCGATGTAAGATTTGGTTCACTCTTGGACTGTTTAGAAATTATTTTCTCTGTAATCACTTAGTCTTTCGCTCAAAAGTCACATGAATATTGTTTGATTTAAATTGTAAATTTATTAATGGGGGTTTCGCTTTTAGCCCTGAGTAAATCTATATATTACATTTGAAATCAGCGCGCGGTAGAAGTTGTTTCCCGTGGTCGGTTAATTTTCCAGGTTTCTTTTTTGGCCGCCGCAGCAAAGTTTGAAAAATTTCCGTCAAATGGTACTGGTATTTAATTTTGGAGGGACGAGATTGAAATGTACCATTTACAAACTACCGGTAAATTTTTCGCTTTCTCTCGAAATGACGCCTGGCACTGGTAATCCAAACATATGGTACAGGAAATTTCGGTCATTTCGGTAAAAAAAGAAAAAAGGTAATATCTCGAAAAGTATTACTTTTTTTCCGGAATATTTCCATCGGGATGAACCATTCCATTTTAATTCTCCCCGGAATTTCCGGGATTTCCATACAAATGGTAAGCGCTCGTTGTTTTGCACGACTTCAATGACTACAATGCTGTTTTGTACGACTGAAACTTCAAACTTCCTAGTTACAAACTACTTTTATGGAGGAATTGTCGTATGTGATTACCGAAGATTTTTTTTCCTGAGTTCATGTTCGCTTTTATTTTTATTTCACTACCGCTCATTTTCTCCTTGCTGGCCGCTGGCATTTCTCATTTTCTCACTGCCGTTATGAAATTTTCAGGTTTTTCTTCCAACGAAATTCTTCTCCTTTGTTTTCAATCACTCGCTCTAGCTCCTTCTCTGTTATCCACGTGAGTGTAAACATCACAAATAACGTCGAAAAAGACACGACTTTGTTTTTTTTTTCTCTCTGAAAGTCCGGGCGGCCATGAGATTTCCTTCCAAATAAAACCTTGAGTTTTATTTGGTTTGCCATACCTGTTGATTGAGTTATCTTATATTGGTGTGCCTGTGTGCGGACGGACGGGCGGTTGGGCGGTCGGGCGGACGTACGGTCACGTGACGACCAAAATTTCTCGGATGCATAGGTTACCAAATTTTCTTACCCACGGTGCTCTACGCTGCACGCGCTTCGCGCGCGAGAGAGCTCCGCTATTACAAATTAATTGTCAAACTTCATTATTGACGTATGTTACTGACTTCTTATTACCTACAAGTTATCGGAAATTTTCTTACGTGATAAGAAATTACCCTCTCTTTTTGAATCCTCTTTTTTCTCTGACAAAGGCGAAGTAAGATTTGTAAAATAAATTCCGCAATGTTGAAATCGTTCAGACTTTGGTTTCATATATGCACAGGCAAACATTTTTCATAACATTGCCATGTTTACATGATCCTTTCTTGTTCTTAGAGTTAGAAAAATAGTTTAAGCCTAAAAAAACTAGTAAAGGAACATTTTTACCTCCTCATAAGCTGTTTCCATATGACTTTCTTGACTGTTTTCAGACATGATTCTGAATTTCGGATACTTTGAATAATACCGTTTTTTTCGCGGAGCCCGCCAAAACACGTCTTACCCTGATAAGGTAATTCGCAGAATGAAAGACTGTTAATGAGAGCACTAAATTTTTACGTCACAGAGAGAGCCCAATTAGCATTGAATTAGCAGCAACTTAATTAGAAATGTAATTAAATATAGCAAAATTGT